TCCGGGGGGGGGGGGGGGGGTTCAAAGGCAGTAATTTCCAAGGAGTAAGGGGGTTACATGGGAAGCGTTTTTCCATAGGGTGACAGACCACGTTCAAAACGTTGAAAGCAATGTACGTTCGATCTGAAGCGCAAAAAGATACCTACGTATGTTGTTTTGAAACAAAAGTTGGTACTCATGGCCATTGAGATGAGGTTAACATCATTAGCTTTAATGTTTCTGTTTTTCTTTGAGTTAGCCAGCACTACAATCTCCAGAAGAATGATGTGTCTTTGAAACGAAGTCGAAAAGATTTAAAATGGTGGACATAACTGAAGTCTTGTCTTCGTCTCGTTTTCGTCCGATCACCATTAAAGTGCTTTCACTTCTGTTCACTGAGTATCCCCTTTCGCTACCTTCACATGCAGGAAACACATTTTTGATAGGTTTCATGTTTTATCAGTGTTTATTGGGGGGGAGTAACTCATAAAAAATGCGATGAGACGAGAGTATTTTCGTTCCCATTTCTTGCTCAACCTTCTCAAGGCCCTTCTACTGATGTTCATGAAACCTAGCGCATTGGCATGTGTTAGTGAAGTTTTCGGTCCTTAAATAATAGTCAACCTGAAGAAACTGGCCAAATGGGTACAAAAATAAAAAGCCAGATCACAACCTTGTAAGTTTCTGGGGTTTTTTGCTGTCGTTTGCAAAGTTGTTTAAGCGGGTGAAACGTAAGTTCTCTTCATAACGTTCGTGTCGGAGTAAGCTCAAAAACATAGACCAATCGACGTTTAAGCTTTGCAACCCAAATGTTTAAGCTTTTAAGCATACATAAAAACAATAGAGACATAATTTGCAAACATGATGGCGAAGAGAATAAAAGTTTGGCTGAATAATGAGCTTAACGAATGTTTACACTGCACTGATGTAATAACATTCTACCATATTTTCGTAACTGAGTTAGTATTCAGTTTCTTTGTTTTCAAGTACCAATCCACTTTGAATTTCCAAGGATGGTAAGCGAAGTCCCTGTTCAAAAATTCTGGAAAGGGAAAGGGGGAGGGGGTCATCAAAGACCCCCTGGAACGGAAAGTCCTGTGGGGTGGTGGGGGTGCAAATCAAAGAGTCGTCCGGGGCGATGGATATTTTCTGGAACCACACAATGCGCACCATTGCTTCTGTGTGGTAGTTGCGCTCATTGGCTTGTACAAAGAGTGGATGCATCAACATCCAAGCTGCTTCACGTCCCAACCCATGGCCAAATTTGATGGCATCCTCATAGAGATACTGTTAGGGACCAAACAAGTTGAACATTTACGAGTAATGTTTAAATGATGTGTCTTCCCTACTTGAGGCAATCCACTCTTTAACTTAATTTAAGCGTAGTTAATGGAGTGGAGTGGGTATGAAACCCGTCTGACTCCTTTGTTATGTTTTTGTGGAACTGAAGGTGCACATCATTCAACAGCATTCCCATCATTTTGATCGTATTGACCATTGCAAACGTTGCATTACTTCATTCTGTCCCAACTTGCCAAAAGAAAGCAAAGGATTGTGCACCCTCCAGAAGCTTCCAACATAAACTGTAGCAAATCTTGACTAGGAAAGGAATCTGAACCTCTAAACTCTTAACGAAGCAGCCATAACAAATGCAAATGCAAACGCTTCTGATAACAGCCAATGTAAGAGGAGAAGCTCCACATCTCTCCTTGACATTAATATCCACCCCAGTAGAGACAAGAGTCTTAACAAGTGACATGTGACCATTTTCTACAGCTGCATGCAGCACAGTCCTTCCATGGTGGTCTCTAACATGTGCCCAGCTTTGCGGTTGTGCTGACACTGAGTGAATGAACTTGTCATATGTACTGACGTCACTTGCTTGTTGTGCATCCCGCATTATTTTTACGAAGCTGTCAAAAATGTTTTGGAATTAAGCATCAACCTTTTGAATGTTACTAGCACTCAAGTCTTCATTTTGCGAGTAACTTTTATCCTCTACATCCTTAAGAGGATCAAAGGCCTCTTCAACCTCTGTCAATTGCATTGTCTCAGTCATTTCTGACTTGTGTTTGTTTAGAGAGGACAAAAAGTCCTGATGGCATCGTGCTGCATTCATGTCAAAGGATTGCTCACAAGGCACACCATACTCCTTTCCAAACTGTTCAATAATTGCTGCAGTCCCAGTTGTGGCTGCATTGTTTTCAGGCAAAGAGGAAGGATTAAAATATCAGTCTTTGGGTTAGACTGAATGGTGGTTTGAGGGAGTTTAATAGTAAAAATTGGTCATCTCTTTTCTGTGAAATCCTGCATTGCCAACCAGTCTCCAAAGTCCTATTCATCCATATCATGAAATTTTTTGGCTTGAATCAGGAATACTGTTAAGTGCAGCATCAAGGACTGAAAGTGGAAAGTAGTCTTGCACTTCCATCCAGAAAGTAAGGTGTTCCAGATGGCTTTCTGAAAACAAAACAAAGACAAAATCTACAGTCTGATTTACAAGCTGGTGGATTCACGTTATGTGTACTACTTCATGAAACACGGGCAAGAAGCAATCTTATACTTATAAAAATCTTGTCTCCAAAAAAAATAAAACATAAGATGTTTTACTTTAATTGCAACTAAGCAACTTTGTGATGAGCCAAATGGTTTAGAGCTGCAAGGATAAAAATCAAATAAACTGGATGCAACACTCACACCTGATGTTTGAATGGTCTGTGTAACTGTGACTCCAACTGGGGATGCTGTTGGATGCGACACTAACGTGTGGTTGTGTGGTTTGAGCAACAAGAACAATGATTCAGGGTACATGTATTGAAGCTGACTGAAAACTAGAAGCACCAGCAACTGTCTGAGTTGCTGCCTGTGATATCAACAAGGTGGAGGTAGGAACAGACGTGGGTTGCTCAGTTAGGGTGGGAGTAGCAGATTGGAGAGTGTGTCCTTCACTTGTCAAAGTATTTAAGGACTGTTTCCTTTTTTGATGATAAGTACTCCACCAACTCCTAATTTGTTGCTCCATCAGCACATCTACTCCTCTCTCTTTCATACAAGCTATAACATCTTTTGGGTCAGCTCTAATGCCAGTAGAAGCCTGCCTGTTGTAAAAAAGAATCATGGTCTCCTTCTAGGCTAGAGTGAACACCAGCCTTTTACCAGAGTTCTTTCTTAGAGCATACCCACTGGGGGGTGAAAAAAAAGATGATGGTTTAGGGTACTCCTCCAGAGTAGGAAGTTGCACTGGTTCTGGAGCATGGCTGATAAATCAGATTCTGTAAAGCTCCGATGAAGGGGAGATCTTTTTATCTCTTTCCAGAGTTTGAGGTAATTCGTTAGAGATAGAAGACCCAGTAGCGCCGGCCAAGCAAGATTCTCTTGATGCAGTCTTCTGCACTTGGCCCTTGGTTTTTCTAAGCTCTCGTCCAACTCCATTGATTTTGCAATTATACCACCACCATACTCTCCGTCAGTCTAAAATAGTGAAACATCCTTCAAAGTGCCCATTTTCTTTGGAGCCCTGCTTTTGTCAATGGACACCTTGAAGGAGGTAACATTTTTCATACCCTTCAATGAAATTTAAAAGACACACTTTACCTACAATTTATCATTATAGATTGTGCAATCTTTATGAAACCCTTTACAGTGTAAACCTGTACATGCTCTACACTGTTCCTGACACATTTGCTATGGTGCTGGTGAGGGCATTTGAAAAAAAAGAAAATCAAAGCCTATTTTCAGGAAACGTCGGTGTTTCGTAAACGAAAGTGAGGTTTAACATGTTGCAATTTGTCTGAAAAAAGTAGCACTGCAATGCATGTACGCTCTTTCTTATTTGTTGATTGTTAAATACAGGTATTTCAACAACAGTTGTTGGAGAGAATGGCGAATGTCGAACGGAGGTTGCACGACCGAAAGGAGCTGTGGTTACGCTATTTGATATGCAAAATTTTATTAGTTGCGTCCACCTTGCGCGGAAATGAATACACCAACTGTGAATGTTTGTTTGAGTGTTCTCAACTCCAAAGACAAAAGAAACTCATGCTTTTTTCAATTGAAAGCCCTTCCTGGTTTCCTCGTATGAACGGCCTATTATCTCCGACTTTACATTGCCAGTCACAAGAAATTTAGAAATATAGCGCTCAACCATTCTTTCAGAAACACCCAAGAAAAATGAAGCCTCCGCACCGAATGCTGAAGAACATGGACAAACCATATAACGCGCCGTGGAAGGTCTTCACTAAATGAAGCTAGCATCATTGACCAGCTTAGATAGTTGATTATTTACCATTAATATTCAAACCCACAGTTCCTTTCGGTCATACAATCTCCGTTCAACAATTGCTATTCTGCAGGAGGAAACTGTTCCAAGGAGGCGAATAACAGATGAAGATGGAGACAGAAGGCTTTGGCTGTTGACCCTTTTACTTTAGTTGAAAGGAACGGCAGTCTTTTGACTTTAGCCGTGCAACAATAGCCACTTTTGTTCCTGCCCCCTCTTTTGACATGACAAAAAACAAGCGGACTGCTTGAAGTGGGCAATACGAAGACGGCAAAAACTTGATCTGACACTTGAACAACCACAGGTGTTGCAGGAGGAAGTGACGACACCACCTCAATCAAATTCGCTTGCACAGAGTCCTGCAAGAGTAGCTAGAATTATTTGGTAATTAAATGGCAATGGGACCAGAGATGTCGGGGTTCTTGGCATGCTTCACATGGTCGCACTTGTACTGGGAGGCCAAATCACCGTTTACGTTAACCTCGTGGGTGCACAACCACATGTCACTGCCACTTGTTACGAAACAATCATCATCTCTTCCCGTAATTCGACACCAAAACACACCTTGAGATATTTCCACAACTGCTTGGCTGGCTGACTTCATTTTCTTCCACACACCCTGAAAAGTTTCACCCAGATGATGGCCGCAATTTCCACAGTTCGGAGGCTTGCTACCATTGAAATATTCCACGTGGCACCTTGGACACGAACCACAACCATGGCTACTTATTAGAAGATTTGAGTGAGCTTAACGCAAACACCAACAAGTTAAAAAGCTCTAATAACCAGAAAACCATACAACAAACGATTCACACCCTTTAAAAGGATGAAAAGCGAAAGTTAAAACCCTTTAAAAAACAACAGAAAGCCGTACAACACACCACACTGACCCGAAGTAACAGCCTTTTAATAACCACAAAACCGTACAAAAAAAGATTCACACACTTCAAACAGATGAAAACTTGAAGTAAGAACCCTCTAATAACCAAAAAACTACAAACGATTCAGTAGCAAACAGACCTCGAGCTCAAGAAGAAAGCAATCGTGAAGCTTCATCCAGAAGTAGAAATGGGAAGTGTGACGCCAGTGACACCTCAGATCATGTGAGGCAGTTTTCTATCCTTGTCATCGCACGACTATGGTTGTCTAACTTGATCATAAGGTCGCCGATTTATTTTCTTTGATCTTCATAACTTCAGTTTTGTCAGAAATACCCATAGAGTCTCAACGCTGAATAAAGGGAATTTCAAGTTGAGCAGCCAAGCCTGGGGCCCGTTTTTTAGAAAATTCCCAATACTTGCGGGCCTATTTTTACATTCAAGTGCAGTGTACAAACCATATTTAACTGGTTTGTCAGCTCGGAGAAGTGCTTTTATTCTGAAGTGCAACTGCTACAAGGTACGGTAATGCTCTGATCAAAAGAAATAAAGCCATTTTTTTGCCGATACCCAGTAAAGAAACTGTGTATATAAAAAAACATTTTTGACAATGGTTTTTAAAAAAGACTTTGCTGTATCTGATCAGACTCCATGAAAAACTCATTTCAAAAATTGCATTTTTTTAGTGCTGCTACATCTCTAACCAACCGAAAAAGATGAATGGCTTAAGCAGGGCGGATCACTTCATCCCAAAGAGCACCAGTAGCATCAAGACTGTACACCACATGGTCTTTATAATACCTTATGAAGACAATGTCATTCTCCTCATCAAAACGTTCAATTTCTCCCTTATACCAGCCCGGTTCCCAATTTGTGCCTTCTTCATTCCGCAAAACCTGCACCGTTTGACCAACTGCAAAAACCTGTTTTCCTTCCATTTGTTCTGCCTGCTCTCTTAGTTTTACCGGTGGTCTTCATTTCCTGTGCAGACATTCTCTAACCTTTGTTTTTCCAGCATGCTTCTAAACCCTTTCCTTTTTTACTGTCGGTCTCTTAGCGTTCTTGCTTAGATTTTCGTCAATTTGTGGTTTTGTACATTTTTTTTCAAGTTCACCAATTCTCTTCCACAACATTTCTTCCTTCTCAGCAACTATGGCTCTTAAAGGCTCGAGAGCAATTTGCATGTTTTGTTTCAGCTATCCTTTTCCAACAGCGATAGATGGCATTCTTGGTGAAAGAAGATCTTTCAAGCATGACGTTCTTGTCGCGAGGATGTCTTCCTCTCCATGTTGAAACTTTCTTTAGCGATTAATTGTGGCCATGTTAAGCTCATACTGAACTTTTATTTTTTTTGCTACTTCTACCATGTGTAGTAGGCACAAACGCTCTCTAGAAAAGGCAGTTTCTGGGTGCCCTGCCTTAAGAAGTCCAACTCTTGTAACCACTTCTTCCTTAGTGCCTACTTCTAAAATATTGTGCGTTCTTAAAATGGCTCTCAGTTGAGCTACCGACAATTTTATCAATCCATCACTAGAACTTGGTATAGATTCTACATTTCCATCATAGAGATTCCCATCTTTAAAGGGACTGACTGTTTTTTATACCATGCCAGGTTTAGGAATGAATTTTCTCTTTTTTTCTTAGTACACCTGAACAACGTACAATATTTACTGTAAAAAAAAGACAGGACATGATGTATGTTTAGTGAAGAGCTGGATTCCCAGCTCGTTTGTTTGAGAAATGGTCCTAGTACTAATGTACTAAGACCGAATAAAATGCAGACATGGATAGAACACGGCCGTACTAAACGTACTAACGTACTAAGACCGAAATTGAGTGCAGTTGTTGCACTTTACCATCCCTGATTGCTCCATGGATTTGCACAGGCAACAAAGAGTGCTTTGTCTTTGAAATGCAAGCTTCCTCTTAGTACCTCTACCTGTTGGTGAAAGAAAAGGGAAAAAAAGTTTTAAAAAACCATAAACTAGTTAGCATTTTTTAAGCTGTATTGTTTTATGCACTGGAACACAGAAATTTAAATATTAAATGTTGTGCTAGCTGCTAAAGTTATAAATCGGCTTCTTAGTTAGTGAACCAAGTTTATTCTGTTCCAGAAAAAAAACGTTACTGGCATATGAAATGTGGGCTTCGAGTTCCATAATGAACACTCTTAAAAATCAAAGTGTACAGAAAAGATAGGGAATTACTAAATTCTTTGCCAATGACTCAACAGAGGACGTACTTTCCTCGAAGTTGTACACGTTACATCAAGTAATAACGTTGTATCAACTCACACACTCGTTGATTTCACCGTACAAAAAGAGCACAGAGAAACTTTACAAGTTAGATAATGCTGAAGTGGTATGTGTAATACCTGAGCTTGATGCATCCTCCAGTGTTGGTGATGGCGTAGGCTCAAAGACTGGACTTGAGGGAGCGGTGGAAATCAAGCTTAATGATGGTGTGACTATAACGGAAAAAAAGATGTTAACGTTATTGTATGCCCAAAGAAATACATCCATGCGTATGCGGTTAATCACTTTAACAAGCTGGAAACAAGCTGGAAACAGTTGTGCTCCTTGTTTTATAACCAATTGTATCAAGTTTTTATAAGAAGTGACAAAAAAAAAGTGACAATCGTGACACAAACGATAAAACTAAACCCTTTAAACAACAAATTATATAAATGGTGCTGCCAATTTTGTTAGTAGATCTGCGGTACCAATCCACATATTTAAACCTTAAAAAGTGCAACGAGAACCCCTGTCACTTTTATAGGGGAGTACCTGTCCCTGGGTTTTTCGTTGTGGCAAGCACACTTGATAATCGCACATGCCAGAAAAGGTGTCTGATTCGTCTTTTCTGCATGGGTGGCTAAGTAAGGAAGGAACCTAAATTCAAAAATGTCATATGCCACTTACATGCTAATTCCATCTGAGCTCCTGATAACGTCTAAAAGATAAGCATTTACTCTTTGAAACTCCAGGGGAAATTCGATTAAACCATAGATCTTGAAATAGAAATTTGCAATTGATTTGTATGTTTTGTCGCTGCACTTTACGTGGAGGGTGCGTTTTCCATCTGCTCTTTCCTGGATGGATAAAGACTTCAATGGTGAGCTCTTTGGCATCTTGCAACCGTTGGCTGTGAGTGGACTCAGTTTTCTGTGTTGCCCTTTCGTAAGGCAGTACTTTTCCATTTAAAAAACATGTGCAGTAAATTTCCTAGGCCACAATACTATAATGTACTGTAAATAAATTGTTACACTATTACAAAAACATCAGATCATGCAGTAAATTCACTAAGGACAACGTTTTGTTTAGTAGTCAGTTCTTTTCCATACATCTCCAAGCTCTCCCCGGGAGTGGACGCTTGTCAAGATAAGACAAGACAAGACAATTCTTTATTTGGAGTCTTATAAAGTCCTATGTACATCGACTTTATCCAAATAATTTAAATCATAACACAAATTGCACACTAGGGGAACTATAATCAATGTCAACCTAAACAACTAATGATCGTCTTTTCTCATAGCAGTCGAATACATATTTTGCAATTAACTTTTGCACTGGTTTGTTCTTGCTCGGAAGGTTTATTGACAACAGAAAAACATCATCTGGTGCTATTCTGTTTACTGATATTCTGTATTCTTTAAGACTTAACCAAGCTTTCATTTCATCCACAGTGACTGGGTACCATACAGAGCTTTCCCTCGGGCCTCTTTTCTGTTCTGCATACAAATTGGTCTGACTAACTAATAACTGCCATACCTCTGGTGTAAAGATAAGTGAGAAGAAATCCAAACACGATTTAAGATCTCTGGTGTTTACATTTACCCCAGGGTTTTCTTTAAAGTCAATATCTCTTCTTCGTTTAATTTCTCTGGACCACTCTCTTTCCACGACCTCTATTACCTCCGGTGTGCTCTCATCAGCTGAGTCTTCACTGGAATCCTGTTCGCTGGATTGCGATTCATCGGAGTAAAATTCTTCTTCAGAGGCTCGATGCTCCATTATGTTTATAAGAGGGAAGTCATCCTCGTTAACAAAGTGAATTTCCACATTGCTTTGATCGTTTGCGGAGCAAAAATCGAGTGTGCGATCGGGGTTAAGAGCCGCCATTTTTAAATCACCGTGCTAAAAATGTTTAACTTACAAGAAACTCTCAAAATTCGTCTCAATTTAAGCGAAAATCGAGCAAAACTGCAAAATAACTTCATGTAGTCTGACACAGAATGAAATAATGGCGTCCAGGCCCTTAGATCTCGTTTTATGGTCTCCGAGAGGGGAGTTGTGATTAGCTGGCCATATATGGCCAGTTGGTACGCAAAGGGTTAAAGATTTACTTTTGTGGTCAAAATATTGTCAGTAAAAAACTGCATCGTCTCTTTGTCTGTGTTTTATGAAGAGGAACTACTGGACAAGACAGGCTGCTCACAAAACTAAAAAGGAAGCTAAAGAATATTTATCAAGGTAAGAAAATGGCGGAGTAAAAAGAAATGAGGTTAAAAAACTCTACCTTGCATTACCCTATATTTAAACCTTAAAACAATCAGTTACCTGAACCAGCTCACCAAGTTCCTCTCATGTCTCAAGGTCGTTTCCAAGGAGAACATAACACACAATCTTGTGCCTCGTGGATCCCACGATCCCTCTACGCTGAATAAGAGTCTCTTGCCATGATAGAGTGCAGTAATTGACGCGGGAACTGATATGGTAAGCTGCGTGTTTTATAAGCTAAAACAAGAGTCGATTTCCATTGCCACGGGTGTTCTGTGTCATATGAATCAAAGGATACCACAGGCTCTGATTGGGAAGCTGAAGAAGATGAATGACTGGACTAGGAACCTGCCTGTTCTGCAGGAGGAAACTGTTCCAAGGAGGCGAATAACAGATGAAGATGGAGACAGAAGGCTTTGGCTGTTGACCCTTTTACTTTAGATGAAAGGAACGGCAGTCTTTTGACTTTAGCCGTGCAACAATAGCCACTTTTGTTCCTGCCCCCTCTTTTGACATGACAAAAACCAAGCGCACTGCTTGAAGAGGGCAATACGAAGACGGCAAAAACTTGATCTGACACTTGAACAACCACAGGTGTTGCAGGAGGAAGTAACGGCACCACCTCAATCAAATTCGCTTGCACAGAGTCGCTGCAAGAGTAGCTAGAATTATTTGGTAAATAAGTGGCAACAGGACCAGAGATGTCGGGGTTCTTGGCATGCTTCACATGGTCGCACTTGTACTGGTAGGCCAAATCACTGTTTACGTTAACCTCGTGGGTGCACAACCCCATGTCACTGCCACTTGTTACGAAACAATCATCATCTCTTCCCGTAATTCGACACCAAAACACTCCTTGAGATATTTCCACAACTGCTGGGCTGGCTGACTTCATTTTCTTCCACACACCCTGAAAAGTTTCACCCAGATGATGGCCGCAATTTCCACAGTTCGGAGGCTTGCTGCGATTGAAATATTCCACGTGGCACCTTGGACACGAACCACAACCATGGCTACTTATTAGAAGATTTGAGTGAGCTTAACGCAAACACCAACAAGTTAAAAAGCTCTAATAACCAGAAAACCGTACAACAAACGATTCACACCCTTTAAAAGGATGAAAAGCCAAAGTTAAAACCCTTTAAAAAACAACAGAAAACTGTACAACACACCACACTGACCCGAAGTAACAACCTTTTAATAACCACAAAACCGTACAAAAAAAGATTCACACACTTCAAACAGATGAAAACTTGAAGTAAGAACCCTCTAATAACCAAAAAACTACAAACGATTCAGTAGCAAACAGACCTCGAGCTCAAGAAGAAAGCAATCGTGAAGCTTCATCCAGAAGTAGAAATGGGAAGTGTGACGCCAGTGACACCTCAGATCATGTGAGGCAGTTTTCTATCCTTGTCATCGCACGACTATGGTTGTCTAACTTGATCATAAGGTCGCCGATTTATTTTCTTTGATCTTCATAACTTCAGTTTTGTCAGAAATACCCATAGAGTCTCAACGCTGAATAAAGGGAATTTCAAGTTGAGCAGCCAAGCCTGGGGCCCGTTTTTTAGAAAATTCCCAATACTTGCGGGCCTATTTTTACATTCAAGTGCAGTGTACAAACCATATTTAACTGGTTTGTCAGCTCGGAGAAGTGCTTTTATTCTGAAGTGCAACTGCTACAAGGTACGGTAATGCTCTGATCAAAAGAAATAAAGCCATTTTTTTGCCGATACCCAGTAAAGAAACTGTGTATATAAAAAAACATTTTTGACAATGGTTTTTAAAAAAGACTTTGCTGTATCTGATCAGACTCCATGAAAAACTCATTTCAAAAATTGCATTTTTTTAGTGCTGCTACATCTCTAACCAACCGAAAAAGATGAATGGCTTAAGCAGGGCGGATCACTTCATCCCAAAGAGCACCAGTAGCATCAAGACTGTACACCACATGGTCTTTATAATACCTTATGAAGACAATGTCATTCTCCTCATCAAAACGTTCAATTTCTCCCTTATACCAGCCCGGTTCCCAATTTGTGCCTTCTTCATTCCGCAAAACCTGCACCGTTTGACCAACTGCAAAAACCTGTTTTCCTTCCATTTGTTCTGCCTGCTCTCTTAGTTTTACCGGTGGTCTTCATTTCCTGTGCAGACATTCTCTAACCTTTGTTTTTCCAGCATGCTTCTAAACCCTTTCCTTTTTTACTGTCGGTCTCTTAGCGTTCTTGCTTAGATTTTCGTCAATTTGTGGTTTTGTACATTTTTTTTCAAGTTCACCAATTCTCTTCCACAACATTTCTTCCTTCTCAGCAACTATGGCTCTTAAAGGCTCGAGAGCAATTTGCATGTTTTGTTTCAGCTATCCTTTTCCAACAGCGATAGATGGCATTCTTGGTGAAAGAAGATCTTTCAAGCATGACGTTCTTGTCGCGAGGATGTCTTCCTCTCCATGTTGAAACTTTCTTTAGCGATTAATTGTGGCCATGTTAAGCTCATACTGAACTTTTATTTTTTTTGCTACTTCTACCATGTGTAGTAGGCACAAACGCTCTCTAGAAAAGGCAGTTTCTGGGTGCCCTGCCTTAAGAAGTCCAACTCTTGTAACCACTTCTTCCTTAGTGCCTACTTCTAAAATATTGTGCGTTCTTAAAATGGCTCTCAGTTGAGCTACCGACAATTTTATCAATCCATCACTAGAACTTGGTATAGATTCTACATTTCCATCATAGAGATTCCCATCTTTAAAGGGACTGACTGTTTTTTATACCATGCCAGGTTTAGGAATGAATTTTCTCTTTTTTTCTTAGTACACCTGAACAACGTACAATATTTACTGTAAAAAAAAGACAGGACATGATGTATGTTTAGTGAAGAGCTGGATTCCCAGCTCGTTTGTTTGAGAAATGGTCCTAGTACTAATGTACTAAGACCGAATAAAATGCAGACATGGATAGAACACGGCCGTACTAAACGTACTAACGTACTAAGACCGAAATTGAGTGCAGTTGTTGCACTTTACCATCCCTGATTGCTCCATGGATTTGCACAGGCAACAAAGAGTGCTTTGTCTTTGAAATGCAAGCTTCCTCTTAGTACCTCTACCTGTTGGTGAAAGAAAAGGGAAAAAAAGTTTTAAAAAACCATAAACTAGTTAGCATTTTTTAAGCTGTATTGTTTTATGCACTGGAACACAGAAATTTAAATATTAAATGTTGTGCTAGCTGCTAAAGTTATAAATCGGCTTCTTAGTTAGTGAACCAAGTTTATTCTGTTCCAGAAAAAAAACGTTACTGGCATATGAAATGTGGGCTTCGAGTTCCATAATGAACACTCTTAAAAATCAAAGTGTACAGAAAAGATAGGGAATTACTAAATTCTTTGCCAATGACTCAACAGAGGACGTACTTTCCTCGAAGTTGTACACGTTACATCAAGTAATAACGTTGTATCAACTCACACACTCGTTGATTTCACCGTACAAAAAGAGCACAGAGAAACTTTACAAGTTAGATAATGCTGAAGTGGTATGTGTAATACCTGAGCTTGATGCATCCTCCAGTGTTGGTGATGGCGTAGGCTCAAAGACTGGACTTGAGGGAGCGGTGGAAATCAAGCTTAATGATGGTGTGACTATAACGGAAAAAAAGATGTTAACGTTATTGTATGCCCAAAGAAATACATCCATGCGTATGCGGTTAATCACTTTAACAAGCTGGAAACAAGCTGGAAACAGTTGTGCTCCTTGTTTTATAACCAATTGTATCAAGTTTTTATAAGAAGTGACAAAAAAAAAGTGACAATCGTGACACAAACGATAAAACTAAACCCTTTAAACAACAAATTATATAAATGGTGCTGCCAATTTTGTTAGTAGATCTGCGGTACCAATCCACATATTTAAACCTTAAAAAGTGCAACGAGAACCCCTGTCACTTTTATAGGGGAGTACCTGTCCCTGGGTTTTTCGTTGTGGCAAGCACACTTGATAATCGCACATGCCAGAAAAGGTGTCTGATTCGTCTTTTCTGCATGGGTGGCTAAGTAAGGAAGGAACCTAAATTCAAAAATGTCATATGCCACTTACATGCTAATTCCATCTGAGCTCCTGATAACGTCTAAAAGATAAGCATTTACTCTTTGAAACTCCAGGGGAAATTCGATTAAACCATAGATCTTGAAATAGAAATTTGCAATTGATTTGTATGTTTTGTCGCTGCACTTTACGTGGAGGGTGCGTTTTCCATCTGCTCTTTCCTGGATGGATAAAGACTTCAATGGTGAGCTCTTTGGCATCTTGCAACCGTTGGCTGTGAGTGGACTCAGTTTTCTGTGTTGCCCTTTCGTAAGGCAGTACTTTTCCATTTAAAAAACATGTGCAGTAAATTTCCTAGGCCACAATACTATAATGTACTGTAAATAAATTGTTACACTATTACAAAAACATCAGATCATGCAGTAAATTCACTAAGGACAACGTTTTGTTTAGTAGTCAGTTCTTTTCCATACATCTCCAAGCTCTCCCCGGGAGTGGACGCTTGTCAAGATAAGACAAGACAAGACAATTCTTTATTTGGAGTCTTATAAAGTCCTATGTACATCGACTTTATCCAAATAATTTAAATCATAACACAAATTGCACACTAGGGGAACTATAATCAATGTCAACCTAAACAACTAATGATCGTCTTTTCTCATAGCAGTCGAATACATATTTTGCAATTAACTTTTGCACTGGTTTGTTCTTGCTCGGAAGGTTTATTGACAACAGAAAAACATCATCTGGTGCTATTCTGTTTACTGATATTCTGTATTCTTTAAGTATTCAAATAAAGTACTTCTTTTTTTCTTGATATGCAGGGGACAGAGTTAAAAAGTGTATTTCATCTTCTACGTCTTTTTTACAGATAGGACAGATCCTCTCTTCCGGTTTCTTATAAGGTCTTACTTATCAACCTGTCTCTATCGCCAATTTGTGATTACTTAGACGGAGTTTAGTTAGAGTCATCTGGTGTTGGATGTTGGTGACTGGACGGAAATCATCTTGACATTTATAATTTTCTATTGTTTTAAATTTTTGGAAGGTTCTTAGTTTGTTCTTTTGGTTCGCGTCTTTTCTTACGTCATTGTTTACGTCACTTAACCATCTTTGTAATTCGATGTCTTTCAGTCTTTGTTTGATAATGTTCAAGATTCCTATGTCATTTGCATGTGCTTTTGTCCAGAGGTATCCCAGCCCTATTTGGTCTAATACACCTTTGATTTTTCATCCTCGACTTCATATCATTATAAACCACCTGTAATAATTTGTGTTTTGGGTGTTTGGTTAGAGATAGCCAAAACTTAAAATTCCTATATTTTGCTTCGATTTTTATTGGGAATTTTCCTGTTTCAGCCCTAGATGCATTGTTGCTGCAGTATTTATTTACACCTAGCAACCATTTCAAGAATTTAATTTGAACTAATTCTGCGGGATCTTTTTCTATTTGGTCGTTACAGTTAACACCCCAAATTTCAATTCCGTAGAGAAGTATGGGAGATATCAGAGCATTGAATAGCTTAATCGTCAGCATAATATTTTCTCTAAAGTTGTCACCCATCGCTTTTCTTAGTTTATAAAGTGCCTTAGGCCCAACTTTTTTTGACTCTTCTCTAGCTAAACTAAAATTTCCATACAGGTTCAGTGTCATTCCCAGATATTTATAAGATTTAACATTGTTTAGTTTATTTACTCCATACTTAGACGAGTAGTTACTTAAGGACTTGCCACAATTATTAAAGATAATGACTTTTGTTTTGTCTAGATTTACAGTTAGTTCAGTTTTCTCAGAGTAGGATTCCAACTTGTTGAGGAGTGTGTGTAGGCCATTTGCTGACCCTGAAAATATCACTAAGTCATCTGCATATAATAAACAGTTTATAGGTCTTTCAGAGTCATCAAGCAGAATATCGGTTGAGCTTGATGAATTTAAAAATTCGGGTAGATCACTTAGATAGAGATTAAAAAGGGTGGGTGATAACATACAACCTTGCTTAACTCCAGTGTAACATGGAAAAGCTTCGGTCATTTTGTTGTTGATTTTGACTGCTGATTTATATTTTAAGTACATTGACATCACTATTTCTAAAAAACGCCCTTTAATTCCTTCTTTTCTGATTTTTTTGAATAATTTTTGCCTGGGTATGCGATCAAAAGCTTTTCTAAAATCTACAAAACACAAGAAAAGCAAGTTTCTGCGTTTTTGTGGTTTAGATTTAACAAATTTATCTATGAGTGTTTTTAAGATGAAGATGATATCTACTGTACTGTGCCTTTTTTTAAAGCCGCCTTGTTCTGCTTTACAATTCTTTTTTTGGTCATGTAATCATACAATCGATCATTGAGGATGAATGTTAAGAGTTTACCTAATGGAGAGAGCAACGCGATGCCTCGGTAGTTTTCAGCTTTTGATCGATCATCCTATTCATGTATAGGGACGATGAGGCCAAAACTCCGGAGCATTCATTCATTTTTGTTTCGCATTGGGAAATCGATGATATCAAACCTGTTAAGAGAAACATGCAATGCAATATGGCTTGCTCTTAAAGAGAAATATCTGAACGTCCCCTTTGTCATTGTTGGAGATGATATTTTCCCACTTAAGCCCTGGCTCATGAAGCCATATCCGGGCAAAAACCTTGACCAGTATCAAAGAATTTATAATTACAGGCTGTCAAGAGCGAGGCGAACAATTGAAAATGCGTTTGGGATATTGGTAGCAAAGTGGAGAATACTCTGAAGGGCAATAAGAGCAAATGTTGCTCTGGTGGAGAAAATAGTGCAAGCCACAATTTGCCTTCACAATTATCTGCGCTTCACAGAGAGTGCTAACTATACACCAGCAGGGTTTGTTGACTGCGAAGACAGTAGTGGGAACATAATTCCTGGTGACTGGAGGAGTGAAGTCAGCAGTGATGAAGGGGGTCTTAGACACCTTAACCAGATTGGAGGCAATAGATACACGTTTGAGGCAGGAAGAGCAGGAGATGACTTTAAGTCATACTTTAACAGTCCTGAGGGGGAAGTTCCTTGGCAACTGCAATATGTTCTAAGTTGTGGCAGAACTGGGGAGTGCAATGACGTTTAGCAGTTAAGTAAACCCACTTGTGTAAGAATAGATCTTATTACCCTTTGTTCTTCCTTGAAATTATATTGAGCAACTTTGAAATAACTGCTACTCTGTCTGGAACCAAAACAGTCACAAAGGGATTTAAGCTAGCATGACTACTGTGTGTTTATTTGTGTCAATTCAGCAGACAAAGGGTACAACACATGTTGCTGGATTTTTAATCAGCCAGCACATAGATCAGGTTGTTTACCCCTATTCATATATTTTGCAATGATTCTACAATCTTAAGTAAAATAATGATAGGCAACCGTAATGTTTGTTTCAAGACTTGTTAACATCAGTCTCAATATTATTCTAGAGATAATCAGACTCATTTTAATTGACAGTGCAGATTTGTTTCTTTCATTAGTCATAAACAGATCAGAAATAGGAAATTGATAGAAACAGAAACTTTTCAGAAACTGTTAGTCATCATTTGGGAATCCATTTTACCTTTCCCCTTTCAGCATTGTTTAATCTCCTGTGTTGAAACTTGTCAATGCAGCCAGCTTTGGATGAAACAGCCTGCCACTGACCTGTGGAGTCTGTTTGCTTTATGCGAAGTTCACACAAAAATATTATTTCACCTCTTACCCCCTACCATACTGATATTCCTACAAGTCAATGACTAGATGTTGATGTTACTGTAATAATTTTTTAACACTACTATCAAGTTTCTGATACTCTTTCTACACTTCATTATTTTTTAGATTTGCTCAAATTAACTAGTGAGCAGCACTCTACATAACAGCTGTGGTTGTGAAACCTGATTATTGTCCTACACATTTCACCTCTTAGACTTTTTCAGGTACAAACATAAAATGCTTATATTTGGGCCATAGCTGATGACCATTAATGATGATGGTCACAGCAGTGAAGGCTTGGCCGAATGTACAAAAGAAACAAATGAAGCTGAGAAAGTTTTAAAGTTGATGTGAAAAACTTTTGGAGGCCACGAATAAAAATGATCTCATTCCTTGCAGAAAAATATCATTCCTACTCATGTTCCCTAACGTACATCCAGCCAAACCGTGAATGTTTGTGACCATCATTATCAATAGTCATCAGTTATGGCTTGAATACAAGCATTTATGGTTTGTATGTAAAGCTTCGTTAAAAAGCCTACATGAACTAGACAATGTGAGTAATAATGTAATAATAATAACAATAATAATAATACATTAGTTATCCTCTCCCGTTTAGTAAAGGAATAAGCAAGTTTTACAGCTACAGTTTGCAGAATGCAGCTCAGAAGTTACCAAAGCCCTTAACCTCAAATTAGTGCCACCTCGAATAAGTACCCATCCCACAGGGAGGAAAATTTAACAAGCGCCCAGCGTCGAATAAGTGCCCACCCTCGCCTGCAACTCCCCCCTCCACAACAACAAGGTGCCTAATCTAATAAATACAGTAAGTTTAACAATATCAAAATTTAGATACATTAAAAAATATTCATAACTTCCTTTCATTAATTATAATATTTCCTATGTCCATTTGTTCAAATAATTTTTCCATAACAGTAACAAAAAATGTAAAAATCTTAAATAATGAACTTCCTTCGATCAGACAAATATACTGTTCATAATGGTTGGAGATGGGTATACTCTGTCCTCTGGTAGGTCATGCCAGTTGATATACCAGGAAACATTCCTGAAGAGATGCCAGCAACAGGATGATCGGAAAATTGTACTTCGTACATTAACTGCTCGATCTGCAGCCTAATATATCCCTTAACATGAACTGGTAAGTTCCTGAGTCTATTGGCCAGACTTTGACAGTAGATGGCATCTTCATCTTCCTCTTCTTCTGTCCTGCTTTTCTTTGGTTGCTCGGGTTGCAAAAGTCTATCTGCTAAGCTTGTTGCAGTTTTTAGTAAAGCCATATCTATGTCACTGTCCTTTGCCTTCCTTGCATTTGAGGCCCATGGTCTCTTGGTGGTTGATTTGGTGATCTTTGGTGTTGATTTCCCTTTCTGTTTTGAACTCCTGTTTGGCTGAACATCATTAGCAGCAGCAGAAGAAGACGGAGAATCAGCAGCTGGAGAAACAGACGTTTCAGACTGCAAGTCATCCTCACTTGATGTTTCCTCATATTCAAGCGGGTCCTGGACATTGTTTGCGCTTTCTGCTTCTTCACCATGATTTGCATCATCTTCCCTTTAATCACGACTCTGCACGTTTGTGACAGTGGATGGTCGTTGGTTGATGTGGTTTGACAACCAATCCAAATTACTGAACTCTGCTGGAGAGGGGACAGCATCAGAACCAGATGGAACAGACTTTTTTTTCTCAAGTATCGCCCAAACGTGGTTCGGACATTCTTATATTTTTTTTCTGCTTCAGCCGCGTCCAAGCTGAATTTCTTTCCTATTGCTTTCCAGATATTCATTCTTATAAACTTATTCTTATAGTCCGTAGAAAATTTGTTGTAAATTGCAGGATATTTTTGCTCTTCTTCCATAAAGAGTGAGGTATTTAACTCAGTGTTTTCTGCTGCCATTTTGAAATGGAGCATGTGAGCTAGGAAATTTGGGATAGGAGTGATTATTTCTGGGATAGCCTTCTATCATCCCAATTGTCTCGGTCATCTGAGAGCGTTTCCATATGATTGCTTCAAAATTTACATGATCGTCCCGATCATCCAGATAGAACTCAACTCTATCCAAGCAATCGAGGTCGTCTCAGTCGTCTGGGTCGTTTGCGATCGTCTGAGTAACATTTCCATATGATCGTCCTGACCGTCTGAGTAGTGTTTCCACATGATCGTCCCGACCGTCTGAAAATTTTTTGAGACAACTGGTACAATCGGGATGATCTGGATGATCATATGGAAACCAGGCTTTAGATTAGAGCGCAAACAATAAACCGTTTAATATAAGGGAGTACCCCCCCAGGACTTTTACGACAAGTAAATGCGTGTAGTTACATCATTTTATACAGTAAATTCACAAAGGCCAACCTTTTCTTTAGCAGTAATTTTCCATAAATCTCTCAAGCTCACATTTAATTGTAATGTCCCTATACATATGTAGTTATGTCGTTTAATCAGCTTGGTAAATACGTAGAGATTTAGCATGCCACTTTGGTCATCTTTCTTTTTTATCATGGACAAAAGAAATAGAAAAAAGAAAACGCCCAATATGTTTTCATTAGAATCACTAGAAGAGCATTTCTCAGCCAAGAAGTCCATCATCCAGGAACTGAGCACCTACGTTTCATTCCTTTGAAACTTTGACCCCACCAGCAGTAACCGATTCAGAGAGGAGGCATCAATGATTTTGGCATTCAAGTTCACATTTAGAGGAGTTTATTTGCTGAAAGTGGTCATAGAACTCGTGCCCAAAACCTACTCAATGAAATAGTCCGAGTTTGGTAGTGTCTCACAGCGCCCTCAACTTATTAACAAGAAAACATCTGCCGGTGACACTCCAGTCGTGTCCTTAAATCGAGACGAACTAGAATTCACCGTTAATTTTATGGAAAGCAATTGTGTGCAATTTTTAAGTATGGGAGAACCATTGGAAGAAAATAATCTTTGGGAGATAAGCGAAAGAAGCGAGTATCATTTAACAAAATTTTTGGCACCTCCAGTGAGCACTTGCTTGAGCTGTGAGGGAAATCTTACCATGCACAACTGGCCGACTAGAGCAAGACTCTTTTCTCTGGAAGGCCCGGTGCCAGCCTCCAAAATAACTCTCGAGTGTAGGAACTGCAAGATTTCCTATGGAATTGCTCGATACACTCATGATGACAAATCGACTATTACCCCAAAACACTCACCGGAGGTATTATCGAGGTGACAAATACAACATACTTGAGTGAAAGGCCTTACAAGTGGATACCCTCCCTAAGGTAGGCCTCCTAATAATTAAAAATAACTGATTTAAAGGAAGCCGAGGTCGATGGGCTCAAATCTAGTTCATCCACTAAACAATTCCAAATTCTACTAGTTATAATGAGAAACGATTTTTGGTATGTACTTGTTTTACATTTCTTAATTATGTATTTATTAACATTGCTGGTTGA